TACGTTTCTTTATTTCATGAGACCACTGCATCGCGAAGGATCGTCATTGGATCGTTCGTAGTTCTGAATTAGGGCATGCTGTCACAACGGAATTGTGAAGCTCTTCTAACTTCTGCAACGTTCTGAAATCTTGTTAAGAACACCCAAACACTTTTGCCGTTTCTTAATCTTGGCAAGTTCATGGAGTAAACTGAGAATTATATGAAACACAATCAAACCATACAACTCCATAAGACATAACAATTAAGCAACTCCCCAGAGACATGCAACATTTTTGGAACAAAACGTAACAAAATAGTAGCGTTGATACGGTGATGTGTATTTGCAAAAAGAAATATTATTTCCTTCAATAAAGAATAATATTCATCCTGCTCTAACCGAGAAATAATCTACTCAGTCTGTTTGAACCCATTAAAAACATAAAAAAATTAGGCTATTTAAGAATACGAAAAATTTAAGCGCCTGCCTTCCATGGTCCGTCTTTCATGTACATTTAAGTTTGCAAAGACCTAATATTAAATACTTGCATAATTTCGAACGTTCATATTTCAGGAAACAATGAGCTAAGACTTACATGTAAGATGTCTAAATCTACGCCATATCCCTTACAAACCTTAACGATAATTCGCTGAAATACAAGTTAGCCTAATATGTCATTAAGCAAACAAACGCTGGAGTTAATATTTGATATGCCAATTTTCGCTAATTTTAGACACATTCCAAAATATGCTCCCCATTTTTAACATTAATATCTCCGTGAATTTTTAAGTTAAATACAACTGTAATATATAAAAATCTAAGTTAGTCCTTCCTCTATTTAATGCAAGTTATTTCTCTTTAAAAACTTTACTTGTTTAGAAGTTATTACGAATCAAACAGGAGTACTTTTTTTGGGGCCACCCGGTATAGTTTTGTATTTCTTAGCAGCGTCATTCGTGATGACTGCAAGCTAGTCGAAACGTCCAATGAAAATGTTAACCGTTTTCGGAGTGTCCATTGTTTTGTATTTTGTAAAATTACTCAGTGGTAACCGTAACTTATAGATACCGTAACACATGGAAGCTTTACAGTCAACTCTGCCCACTAACCAACTCGGCCCACCGTTCAAGGACCAACTCCGCCCGCTCATAAACTGACTAATCTAACCATTAAACAAGCTATAGGAACCATGACTGCGTTCTATCTTTGCAAATTTTGAGAGAGATTTGAATGATCAGTAATTTAGTATCAAAACGGACAGATCGAGAATTTGAAACTTCGATAGATTCTTTAATTAGATTAAGTCAAACTGGATGTTCTCAAACTTTACTCATCTGTACGCCCAATGCAACTGCAAATGGCTGTATTGGTTTGGTGCTATCTTTTGTAAAATATTAACTTTCCTAATATGTCAAACAGTAGTTACCAATTGGGCCAAGATGGTATGGGTCGAGTTGGTCAGTGGGCCGAGTTGACCAGCTTCCGTGATGCCCGAGGGGCTTTGCCCAATTGGCCCGAGGGAAATATCATCACTTCGGGTAATGTTTTGCCGAATCTCCTCGCTCCAAGTTTTTCAAGCTATCTTAAATTGAACGTAAAGTAATTAACGCTAGATTAAATTTCAATACTTACAAAGTTTCTTTTTATTAATTGTGAGGTCCATATAGCCATTTCAAGCGATTTGATAACGGTTGAAAAATCACTATCCTGTGATAGCGACGATACCCTAGCTAATACTGGGCACGGATAAGCTCCCTGTTCTGGGAATTGTTTTTTAAAAACCTTGTTAAAATAATTGTTTAAAAAGCCATTTCTTGGCGCGAAACTCATGCATGTCTCATGCCAAATTTCTAAAGAACAGCAAAACACAGTTCTATCGGTGACATTTACAGATAGTGGCGTAAAAGTGAGGCCAAACACGTGATTCGAGCTGAATGTGTGAAAGTTGGAAACTGTATAGTGTCATATAGATGTCATACGCTACCTGAGTTGACTAAAAGTACCAATCCAAATGTAGAATCTGACTCATCAACTGTATTAGTAAGACGATAGATTGTCATGGCAATAACACCAAGTGTACTCAGAGTTGCCAATATGAGGAAGGCAATTTCAATCTTTTCCAAATCTGAAGGGACTCTTAGCTAAAAAGATAAGGAGTTATATTATTATTCGTGTCGCTGTAGTTCTCATAAAGTGGGTCCACGAGAGTGATCAGTTTGCTACTGTAGTAATCAGAGTTATCGTTTAGTTTATATGTACATGCTCTCTTGGGTCTTGATGGAGTATATTTCGTCAATCGAAATTGGAAACTGTCCATATTAAGAGATGTCCATATTACGAGAGATGTCCATATTAAGAGATGTCCATATTAAGAGATGTCCATATTACGAGAGATGTCCATATTAAGAGAAAGTTGTCCACATTAAAAAGGTGCATGTCCATAAGAATAAATTTGGAGAGCAATTCCCAACACATTTCAGGTAAACGTTTAGGGCTATCCTTAATCAGGCTGTAACCGGTAAAATTTACCGTTTCCACAACCACTGATTATTTTATTTTTTTTTTAAATTTTATTTTCCCATGTACATTACAATTATTAATACATTATCACTGGTGAAGCCTAGAGTTTGTGTATATTTGTTAAGAAATAATTAGGCATATGTTGTGCAAAAATCCTATACTCAATCAGATATTGCTGACATTCCACACTATTATTTGTTTAGTATTGATTGAATACTGAAACATCCTATATATATTTTCTGTGTGTGTTGGTGTTATCACTGTTATGTACTCAGGTGAATATGATGTTTGTGGTGTTCCTCTGCGTGAGTGTGCATCCACACCGGGCAAGCTGAAAAGTTTGCCTGACCACGGTGGCGAGCCTCCCTATAACAAACATAACTATATAAATGTTTATTCATATAGGCATAGCTTTTTGTTGTAAACACAGTTTTATGTAAATGGTGTGTTTAGAATACAATCTTTAGTATTCTATACACGTTTAAATCTTCCCTCAAAATGCATTGTCTTGGACCTCCTAGACGTTTATAGGTGCGGCGTGACCTTTATGCCTGTTTAAAAACCTGTTTTACCTGTCCCGCTCACAATTGGGGAGAACCTTGCGCCATTACTTGCTTGTATTCTAGCTCTCGTTAGGGACCGGTCATTATTTATGGTGGGGGGGTGGCACCGAAGAGAAATGTTTTTCGTGGCAAAAATTTTGCTGACCCAACCATTAAAAAGTCAAAATTTTGATTACCCAACCTCAAGTATCAATTAAAAAATGAATACCCACCCCTGGCCAAAAACTTTACAAAAGGATACCATTCAATTGTCACACATGTCCTTTACCACTTCTGTGACATGAGTTTGATAACTGCTTGTGCAATCTTCTGCAGTCTAAAGTTTCATATTGTCTGCATTTTTAGTAGTCTCCAATATTTCAATGAGTGGTACTTTGGAAATGACAATAATGTTTTATTACCCAACCCTTGAGTTGTTTTGTTTTTCATTTACCCAACCTTTTACTTACTCAAAAGTTTGTTTACCCAACCCTTTTCTCTTCGGTGCCACCCCCCCCCCCCCCCCCCCC